CTCACAATGGCAATGGTTAACGTTGAGCTTTATCATTAAAGCAGTTTCATAAACTGAACAAAGACTAAAACGATGTCCAGATCACATTAGGTGATAAAAAGGCATATTATTCGCCGACGGTTGTTCAGCACCGTTTGCTTCATCATACCATGCTTGTGGTCGTTGCCCAGGTACAGGTGGATAGGTTCCAAACGCACTTGTTGAGGCAAATGATGGGGGGCTTTGGCCTGCTGCAGACATGAGTAGTTGTGCAATTTGCAGTTCATGCCTTCTATTGGCTTCTGCTTGCTCTCTTTGAAAATTTAAAAATATCTCATCCCTTTTCCTTTCGGCTTCAAGCAAGGCATCCAGCCTTTCGTCGCTGTTTTTTTTTTCTTGCTGTGTTGAACACCGTTCAATACTCTGAACCATTTGCCACATGGCTACCGTCTGTGTTTTGGGTTGTTTCTTATTTTTTGATGCCACTTTCACAACAGTCTCTTTCTTTACTTTCCTCTTGGGTGGTAGACACTCGTTATCATTATCGCCTTTATCTACACTACCACCCTCTTCAACAAGATCGCCATCATCTGGCGTGGGGACTGGGGTTAAGGATGGTTTACGCAGAGTTAGGTTGTCAACACTTCCACTATTTGAATGACCCGAGGCAATACTTTGACATTCTTCATCTATTGAGCTATCGTCACTTGAATCTTGATCTGAACCATGTAAGTCGCTTGCTTTACTGCTGACAAATAGCATATCATCGACACTTTCGCTAAAAAGTGGATCAAGAAGATCATACCAACTTGGTGCCTCGGTATCCTTTTCTTCCAGGCCTCTTCCTGTTTTGATCTGCGCGTTTATCCTCCTCCATTCTTTTTTGAACCACTTGTACTTTACTCTAAGTTGTGCCACATTAAACCGGTAGTTCTCGTCTTTACCTTCTTTCGCCAATAAATCATCAAACTCCTCTAGTATCTCCCTAAAAATACTTTCGTTGGCAGTCTTCTTCAGAGCTAAAGTTTCCAGAATAAGAGCCCAGGGTTTGTCTCTGCCTTCCAAAGAAGACAAAACGGTAGCGAAAAGGAAGACTTCATTGTCCTTCCACGTGTTCTTTCTAGGTTTCTTTCTTGTTTTCCTTTTCGCAACTTTAGACGCCATGTTTTCCTTCCCAGAACTCAGTGCACTCTTTCTAGTTCCAGGCTTTTCAGGGCAAAATAAGATGACTTTATCTGTCCTGATGTGAATTCAAGACGAATCATCCGTCTTTGACGGATATTCCGTCCTCAAATCCGTCTATATAGACGGATAATCGGACGGATAAAAGTAGACGGATTATCCGTCTAAAATGAACACCGTTCCGTTTTCACACTAAGACAGATTATCCGTGCTGGACGGATAACCCGTCTTAGACGGATTATCCGTCTCTAGCGTGAAAAC